ACGTAGTTCGGCCGGCGAGATCTGCGCACAAACAAAACGCACGTGGGCTTTACACTTATACTCTAAATATCTGTGAATACACAGGGGCGTCGCCGGGAATTTTGTCATGGATATAGGGGGAAGGGGTGGTTGATTTTCAATTGAAAATGATAGTTGAAAAATTCTGAGGAAAAAAAAACCCAAGCGTTTATATTTATTATTTAAAAAATAGATATTTTGTTGGTAATTGTGTAAAATACAAAAATATTTCGTAAAATATTTTCAATACCATTTAATTATTTTAATTCTTTTACGTTAAAAATCCAGGAGGGTCCAAGTACAACCCCTCGCGGTATCCATATTACTAGGGCACAAGCCAGGTTTTCAAAGATTTGAAACGTCAAAATTAGATAAATCGATAGCAAACCGCAATATTAATTAATAATTATAATTATTACTATTATAGTATTAGAAACGTCTGATTTAATATAATACACTATTATATAAGACGTTCCAGAGTTGTGAGCCTCATTGATTGTACTTTCAATGACTATATTATCAATTTGTTATTACTAAAATAAAAACTATTTAATTAAATCTAAATGATATGTGAATCGATACAGTTCAAATAAATAGAATAATTTTGGTATCCAATTGTTGACACATAGGTGAACTTGAATACTCAACTCAAAAAAAAATAATACAAATTAAATTAATTGACTAAATTCAAAAAAAAAAAAAAACTGTACGCCTCAGTGAAAACATCTAACTTTATTACACATAACAGTGTACGAAATACAAGATAATTTATTTCCACTGGAAATGTTGGCACAAACAACGCCATCAAATCTACCGAAAACCACAAATGGAGTCGAAGTATTTTACATTACTATGCACAATTTTATAATCTTCATTCTTTAGTATGAAAAGTATAAAAATAAATTCAAAATAAAACGAAAAACTATTTATGTAATTTGAGTAACATGGCATATTTTTAGATTATAGAAGTATAAAATGCATTTATTAGCGTGAACGTCACCATGTCAAACAATTATTAGTACAAGAGTAATCTATGTCATTAACTACACTATATTGGAAAACAAAAAACAGCCAAGGCGCAATTACAGGTGGTACGAACGCAAGGATTTTATATTATGACGTAAGTGAAATAACGAACCGAAATCGTGCATTTTATATTAATACTTTAATTATAAATATTATTACTGGGAATTTTAAATAGAAACTAGAGAAGAAATATATCATAATATTTAATTACTTATTTTAATATTATTTAGTGTCATTTAATATTAAAAAAATAGTACACGAGATCGATGAATATATTCAACATTTCAGTTTGAAACTGATGTTCTATAACGTTTAATGACGAATGACATAAATATAATCAGGTAAAAAAATACCAAAATTGTCTTATTAATCATTGAAACATAGTAATACATTATTTAGAAGTGTGTTTAAATACCTTGACTCCGGCTTTTAAGAGTAGATTAGATGCTAACTCTGGATCGAAATTCGAAGGCATCGGTTGCACAGGTAGATCTTTGGTACTTATACCCCGGTGTTGACGAGACATGTGCGAGTGCAACGAATTCCTCGATTTGGCAACGGTGCCACAGAGTACACATCTATATCCAGAACATACGGTGTGTTTGTCCTCCAGATGTGTGCGAAGCGTGTGAGCCGAGCGGTAAATCTTGCCGCATTTGGGACATGGCCGGGGGTCTGTTGCTCTAACTCTGGTCATTTCTATTGATCTCCTAGCTGAAAGGTTTAATTCAGAATTTAATAATAATAATAATAACAATAATTATAATGATAAAGATATATGTAAAAAAACATATTACACGAGCATAAATAGAATGCACAACAAGAGTTTTACGAATTAACTACTAAATATTAGACACTTTTCTCGATCAATCTCAAAAAAGAGGAATTAGACAATTCTATGTTGCCAAATTTGTAATTGTTAAAAAAAAAAATAGATATTTTTTTTAAAGTCACCTTTATTAATGTATAAAAAAAGAAACCCATAGGATTCTACACGGTATCGTACATTTAACAAATAATTGATGTATTATATTTTACATTGCATTAAATGTATACATAATAATAATTATATTACACATATTATACACAACAATTTCGAAAAAACTAACCATACAAAACAATACACTTAGATAAAAATAATCGTATGAATAATATATGTATAATCTTTTATGACTATTATTATAATATCCTTTCATTGAATACAAATTAAAATGGTATAATAACAAAAATAAACAATTACAGTAATAGTTACATTATGTTGTGACTTTTCCAAATGGTAATAATAATTTTTTTATATTATGCTTATAAAATAGGCTTATTGGCATTCATCGACTTACAGTGATATCGACAGTAAAATTCATTGACAAAATTGATCCTGGGGCATATAAAAGTATTAAACAAAAACCCTGATATATTATGTGCAATGAAAATAATAAGTAATAGAATTTAGATAATTGTATTGCTCTTACTATCATAAAATATAATAAATGCAAACAAAAAAAAGCTTACTTCGATTTTTTTTATCATACTAAGTTTTTGATAAAATTAGATAATAACAATACATTAGAATCGATCAGTCTTCTATTGCAAAAAAACTAAAATGATCTCAAATCCATAACTATAAAGATTAAATAAAAACATTTACAATTTATATTTACTGCATTGAGTATCTACTTCATAAAAAATAGCAAAATAATTCAATATAAATTAAAGACGAATGATCTAAGAATAAAATTGTAAATATAACATACCATGTTTTGAAAAAACAAAAAATTAGTTGATTGGTAGGGAAATACGAATTAAAATGAATTGAAATTTTTAACAAAACAAATAAAATAATCATTTTTCTTTGAAAATATAATAATATAAAGAAAAAGAAAATTATTGTCAATAACACGATTTAGAGCTATTATTTTGAAGAAAAATATCATCAAGTTCATTTTCTTTTTTTATTTATTGAAAAACTTCTAATTAAACATTAATGAGTATAACTGAATGATGAAGTCAAGTAATGAGTAAATAATAATTTAAAAAAATTGATTTTTATAGATAGTGTACTAAAAAATTTTATATTAAATAAAATAATTAATTAATTAATTAATAAAGATATAATTACAAGATATAGATCAATCATTATTCACCACAAAATCCGAAAATATTGATGAAGTTGATGAAAGGAAAATATAATTTCTTTTGCGAATAATCAATCAGCATTATATATGTAAGGAAAACTATAAAAACTTAAGACATACTTACTAACGGTAATTAATTTGAACATTATCTAATAGAATAATAGTTACATTTAAATTAAGAAAATTAATTTTCAAACTGTCGAAAAAGGAACAATACCAGAATTTTGAGTGTTATTAGTAACAATCATAAATAGGTCACATATTTGAGATCCATCACTAGGTTCAATTCCAAAACAATCTAGATTCATAGATGTTTAAGAAATGGCTATTATAAAATAAATTTAGTATTTCAGATTAAAAACATATAACACTCAAAAATCAACCTTTTAAATAATCGATACTTTATCTTTTTGTAGTCATATATCAAAACATATCATTATAGTAAAACCAAATTAAAAACCAATGGAATCATAGATAAATATAGTCGATTTGATTAACACACAGTTTGAGATTTCGTTAAATGAGGCAATTTCATTTCCAAAAGCTATTTTGAGCCTTGTCCAAATTTAAGTACACAACACTAAAAAAAGTTTAAAGAATATCCCGTAGTAATAATAAATAAGTAATTTAGAAACTAAAAATAAATAAATTACTACGGTTCTCGACTTCTCGCTCATATTTTATTACATTTTCGAGTTTTCAAATGCCCAAATATCATTGAATTGATTACTAGTGACTTCGTCATAAGATAATGCATATAACTTAATTAAATATTATATATATTTTACTTCATATATTCTAACTGAATAGTGATACAATAAATTATTATAACTATTATTAAATAAAATCGTGATTAAAATATTTTATATAAAACAAAAAAAAAAATAAATAAATAAATAAATATAATGGATAAATTAAGTTACCCCAAGTATTTAACAGAAATCACTGATAGATTATAAACAATACATAACTAAATAACAGTTTTAATGTCCAAAAAAAATTATTAAATACAGCAAATAAAAGATAAATAAATTATATGATTAGTATATTAATATTAAAAAATATAGTAATAATAATAAAATAACTAGCACAAACTTTGTTTTAGTTTGTTTTTACCTACAAAAATTGTTAAAATTATATTTGATGATGCTTCGAATATTAATTTTGAAAAAAAATTTATGATTTAGATACAATTACATTATTAGGCATTTTATATAAACAAAAATGATATATTATTAATGCCATCGATTTATTGAAATAAACAGTTTTAGTAAAGGTATTAATTGGGACAAAATTATCAACTATTTACGGAATATATGTATATGTTCATGGTTGAACTATTAAAACTCTAAAAGTCAAGTAACAAAAATATAATCATTTTTTTAGTAAAAATTAAAATAATAAAACAAATAAAATATAATATACAATACAAATAATATATTTTTAACTAAAATAAATACAAGATATGTAAGAAAATATTATTTATCGAAAAATATTCAATAATGAAGAATAATATATTATCAATATATATTGATTACAATCGAGTAAGAAGCAAAATAAAATATAAATATACGTAGGTATGCACTGAATATTAAATACATATATTAATATGACTAAAAATATATAATAATCATATGCAGAGGACTAAAGACTAGAATAAAAGGACCAAGTTAGTGATAATATAATATAAAATATACATTATTTACGCAGTCATATTTATATAATTATAAAATTCAAATAAAACTTATTATTATAAATGAATTGTAAAAATAAAAATATAAATTGTTAATAATTTTAAAATATAACGAAATATTGATTTCTTATCACTACTGGTAAAAATAGTTACAAAATAATTAAACGCAACATATATTTATTATTTTTAAATTGAGGGCTCATTTTTTCTGACTATAAACACTTAATCTTCTATCTTATACAATTGTCACCAAATGAAATACCAAATAACAATATTGAACTTATTCCTTATAATTTCTAAATGTTATTTATATTGGCCAATTTAATTGTTATTATTTTTTTAATGGTTGTTAAGCTTAACTTTTCAAGTAGGCGCTCCCTGATCAAACGTACGTTACTCTGAGGAAATTAATGTCTAGAATTGGTATTGTTCGAAAAAATAATAAAATTTTGGGAGTTATAAAACTTATTAATTAATTATATCCACTGAAGGAATAAGCGGGGTAGTTAAATTGAAAATATATATATATATATATTAGAATTTAATGGAATAGTGTTCCAATGACCTGATAAAATAAAACTGTCGACCGTTGTATACCTATTAAAATAAGCATAGTTTCGTACCAACGGTAGACGACACTTTGGACAATGGGTACCCTATTCAACTCCATATAACGTTTGTTACATACTAATAATAACAATAATCGTTCTCCGGACCGTATAAAATCGTCGCGGGGTTTGGACACGATTATACTATCAATTGTATTGGAGTTGATGATCGCCGTCATAATTACGAACGAAGAATTTTTTATTAGCAGCCCAATAATAATTCGACGCAAGTCGTTCGAGAAAGAAAACCGCACGAGATAACATCAAGATTAATCGTTTTGGCTAAACTCAATGCACGACAAGTATACTTGCAGCTTGACGAGTTGGGAAACATGTCGAGCATGGAAAAACTTTTACAGGTAGTAAAAACGATAAGCAGCAAAAGTTGGCGATAAATTTAATACGAAAAAAATAATATCGAAAGTATTAAACTTTAACGAAGAAAAAACGTGTGTATAGGTCGAGCCGATAAATACAAGACGAGCAGTGGTCGTGATCACCGTATCGATTACGACAAAACTGAAAGGAAAGTTAAAAAAACACAAGAACGAAAAAAAAAAAAAAAATGTTTAAAAAAATACGGTCAACATTATTATTATCTAGAAATGGCCGATTTGGACAACATGTAGAACTGGGACGATAAATCGGGGTTGAGTCGGTTTTCCCTCATGGACGCGGCCACCGCGGCGGCCGGCGTCGCCGCGGACGACGACGACGACGGTAAGGGAGGACCGAAACTGTTGGGATGCTGCTGCTGCTGCTGCTGTTGCTGTTGCTGCTGCTGCTGTTGCCGCTGTTCGTTAAGATCGGTGACTGCGGCGGCGGCCGCAGACACAGTGGAGGAAACAGAGGAAACGTGAGTCAGGGGTTTGATGTCGGTGTGGTGGGACAACAGCGGCTTCGCCGCGTTGGAGAAACACGAAGAAATCGTGGCGGACGAAGGGCTGTTGGCCAGCGACGCGACCGAATGGTGGTGATGATGATGACCGCCCCCGTTCCCTCCACTGCACGCGCTGCCGCCACCCGACGACGACGACGACGGCAACTGCATGTGCATCCGGCTGCCCCGTTGCCGGATGCCGTGGGTTTGCAACAGGTGATTGAACAGATACTGTCTGGTCTTAAAGTGTTTACCGCACACCGGGCAGGGTTCCCAGTGTGGAGTGGCTGAGTGGACGTTGGCTATGTGCTGCTTCAAGTTGCTCACGCTGCTATACACCCGGCCGCATTCTGTGCACACTGGTTTCGGTTCGGTGGCGTTCAAGTAACATCCCATCGTAGGTCCACCGCCATCCCCTGGAACCCCACCAGTCTAGTGTCATATACGAGTCAAAGAGCATTTTTTTTTTTTTTTTTTTTAAATAACTTTATTTAATTTTATTCCTTTTTTCCGTCTCAGACGTACACTCCTGGGTTTCGATTTTCTCGCACTCGCTCATACTCATACTCGCGCACACGCACACACAAGCATTCGTCACAGCACACTTCGTCGTGATATCAGAGAAAATATTATAATATTATTTCCATTTTATTGTATTATTGCGTTCGGTTTAATTCTTTGTATACATGTGTGTTTTGCCAGTGGCGATTTTCATTTTATTTTATTTTTCTGAATTTTTATTAACCCTTTCTAAAGAACGTGGAAAGTAAACATCCCGTAAACTCGATGCTTTCATAAACTATTGTTTGTGGCTCTAGATACGTTTGAAACCCGGAAACTCTTTTCCACTGTAAATACGTCACCTAATATGTATGTATTACGTGTACAACATTTTTACGCTGTAATGTTATTCGTTTACATGCAGTTTAGTTTCCTGTTTCCCCCGAAACAATTTTCTATGACAGAAGGAGCGGGAGGGTTGCCGATACATACAGATTATGAAGCGCGAGTTTTGCACGTAAAAAGTAAATATTGTTTTTCACGAAATACCTATTATGTTTGGTGAGTCGTAATGACTTCTCGAGTAATCTAATGTTCAATAAAAAAAGAAACTTGAATTGACCAAGAACTTAATTTTTCAACATTTATAGGAATAGTTATTTGAACACTTCGCTATGATGATAAAAACAATACAAAGGCATAAAAAAAAAAGCAAAAAAGTAATACTGTTGACTAGTTTAAATATATTTTTTAGATCCGAATCGTATCACCCACTCCAGCCAGCGTAAATTATTACGTAAGCATTGCTAGTAAGAGATATTTTATATCGGAACGATTGGATTGTTCGGTACACATGTTATCGTTAGGGGGATGATATGTTGCGTTAGGTGCGTTTTAAAGGTTTTACTCTAAAAATAACAAAAATCCGACAAGAATATATCACATAATGAAACGTACTCCTTACCTAGTTATTAATTATAAGCAGGCCCATATTTAAAAATTTGGCGCCCCCGGGAATATAATTTATACCCCCCCCCCCAAAAAAAAAATTAAAATAAATAATAATAGTATAACACTTATTATTTCGTCCTTAATCGAGATCCTTGAATGTTAAAATATAACTTATAAATGAAAATCGTTTAATATTTTTATTAATTAACAAATTATAATATAATAAAAATACAATTTTTTTTTTAATTTAAAAATTATAACATAATAAAACATGCTATTATCTTTTTTTTCTTTTATTTTTTTTTTCATTAAATACATAATTTTTAAAATTAATTTTTCTAAAATATTTTGCCGCCCCTAGACATGTGCCTACCCGTACTCTAAATACAGGCCTGATTATAAGAGATAAGTAATTTATATGAATTTTTACTATTATTATTATTTGTATTATTAATATTCCAAACTTACATAATATTGGATATATGACATTAAGAATTGAGAAATACAGAGAAGTAGTTAAAATGTATTAAGAAAATAAATGTAATAAGAAAAAAAGAAGAAAACTGAGCAAGATAGGAGATAGGATAAAATTGAGGATGACATGAGACTAGCTGGTTAGAGGGAAGAGGGAAACTGATGTATGTGTGGACATGGTCAACGGTGACCAATACTGAATAGTTGAAAAAAAGGTGATACTTAAAACGATAACATGTATAGAAAAAAAAATACTAAAAGACATAATATAAGAATATAATAATTGAAGAAAATAATTAAATAACTGAAATTATCAAAAGAGTATTAGAGCCAGTTTTTTATGGTTACCAATAGAATTTTACGTTTATTTTATACATTGTTTTACTGATAATTCGGCATTTTCGTTCTCAGTTTCCATGATCATAAAACGTTTACTTTCCTTAGTTGTAATAAATAACATTAACTATAAATACTTAATTTTCATATTTATTATAGCTATTTATGGTTATAATAATAATTTAAAATTTATTTTGATAATAAAGAAATTTTTAATTAGTTAATTTCGTAGTGAATTTTACGTTGGGATATTAAACATAAGTTAAAATAAAACACATTAGAATCTAACGCAAAATAAATGTATTTAATACACTACTAAAAATATAATAAAATATTAAAATTGAAAATGAAAAATGTACGTTTTTTTATTTATATTTTTAGTCTATGTAAAATATTTAATTTCTTATCATTGATTGGAACACACGTATAATTAACCGATGCATATATTCACATGAAATAAATTAAAATGTCTACAATGAGAGAAACCTAAATCGTTTAATTATAATATTGTTAGATCCACAATAATATTATTATTAATTTGTATTTACATACATACTATATACATAAACATACATATATACAAAGATATACACAAAAATATAGTACATAATCTTAAAATAAGTATGGTAATAAACGCATTCATATTCTAATTTAAAGTTTTTTTACAAACTTATACATATGAATATTATTATTTTTTACAAAATGGGTAAAACATGGTTTCTTAAACGATACTTATTTAGTAACACCAAAACGGTACAGTTAATAAGTATAAATTAACAGTAGACTTAGTCTTAAATTCAAACAACGAAATCTTTTAGCCATCTCAAAACCAAAACGACTATCGAGTGTTTTAAACAATGGATCTTTAATCTAATTGAATACATATTAAAATGCATATAGAATTTTTTACGTTTTAAAGAATCAATTTAGTATAAGACAATACTATGTAAAATATAATTAACATTTAAAAAAATATATCACCAAAAATACACTTCAATAATTTGAAACAGCATTCTAAATTAGGTACATATACTAAAAATGTATACATTTTGAATTTTCAACTTTAAATAGTTTAAATACTTATCCTAAAAAATCAAATTTGTTGATAAATGCGTCAGTGCAAAAATATTAAATAATTAGTACTAGTGGAAAATTAGCGTGATTCACGTGTATATTTTTTGATTGACTACTTGACAAATATAGTTTGAGCACAGAAATAAAATGTATGATATAAAATTACACACAAAAGCGAAAGCAGATTTATAAGTACCTATCAAAATACATTTAATTAAAAAAATTATCTTAACGTTTTGAAATTAAGCTTAGCTAATTTTCATCTGAAATAAAGAGGTTTTAAAAACTAAATTCTTTATAGTTTGGTGTATATATTTGATTGGGGGAGAAGTGAATTTAAAATACTTTACTTTAAATTTAGGCTGCTTGGCCGTATTTTATTTGTTTTTTTTTATGTACCATAAAAGCTTAATAATAACTTTAAATAAATGTTCAAAATAGTATAAGAAAATATGTACATATTGTATACATTAGAAGACTTGCAATGCATGTGATAAATTAAAATAATAAAAAACACTTCCAAATCACAAAAAAATTGTTAAAAAAATCAATTTGTATTACTTATTTTTACATTCAGATAAAAATATTTTATTGAATATTTTCATATACAAATATTAGATGATTACCAAAATTAAATTATTTAACTACATTTAAAAAAAAATATTAACTTTAAATGAAAAATTTTATATTAAATATTGTATTACATTTTCATAGAATTATTTATCACGGATTATAGAAGTAACTTTAAACTGATAACTTAAAATTGTAATGATAGAAATATAAAAACCAACATTTCAAAGAAAACGTCTCGGCAACGTATGATTTAAATATATTGAGTAATTTAAAGTAAGTAGATAAAAACAAGTGAATTGTGCGCGTATGTGTATGTGCATACATATGCAAAAAATTATACCAAATAACTAATACTGTTTATTACCTAATTTCAGGACTATATTTAAGTAGAACTAAAGAATAATATATTTTGCACGTGCACATAATCTATGTATAGAATTACACATTTTTATTAAATGAAACTATAATAAACATTTGACCAGCTGCAACTGGTCGGCCTACAACGTACGTAATGAAGAATTATTACTGTGAGTCTCTACGGTGCCTACATATAATTAGACAGTCCGAACACTAAGGTCACTTTTATGAACTATATTATACAGAGCCTACAAAAATATTTATTGCACGGTCTCACCATGTGCCATGCACATGTTATCCGGACGAATCTTAAAATGTGCAACTCGAAAATGTGGAAGATCTCATGTAGAAATCGGAATTTTTCATTGATCAGATTTTACGAAGTATTCGGTATATTTAAACGAGGAAAAATACTTACTTCCAGATTTATTTTTAATAATGTTGATATTTATTTAGTTTATTCAAATTAAATAACGCTACACTAAATAATTCACACAATTTAATAAGATATATTTTATTAAACTAAATATTAAGACATTGAAGAATATTATTTCTATAATTAAAACGAAAATCAATACGACTTTGTGATTTCCAGTTGGAAACAAACAATCCTTTTGAAGCGTATAGTTTATTATTACCTTTTCTTTTAACTATAATTTTAAATATTATAACTTTCTACGAATTATTTAAAATAATAAATTACTCGATAAATTATAAAGGGATGTCAAAATGGTTTTTTGTGGATCTACTTATTTTATATGTAAAATTTCATAATATTTAATATATAAATTAATTTGAAATCTGAAATATTTTACTGACAAACGAATTATTGTTGTTCATTTTAAACTATTTCATCTGCATTTTTTGTACTAATAATGTGAAATTATTTAACATAATATATATTATATACTATTTTGAAAAAATAATGAAAATTGTATTAAACACCTTTCCAATTTCCATCATGTTACATTTTATTAGTAAATTATATCATGTAAAACAAGGTTTAAAGAAATACTTAAGTACGATGAACTAAATTATAAGATTGATAAATGGTCACATTGTTTAACAAGCATGTAATATTCCAATAAATTAAATTGTTTTATTTAAAAACTGCATTGTACATTTATCAATTGTCATAGAATTGTAATAATTTCGGAATATCAATTACCAAAATAAACATTTGATCAGTTGAAAGAGTTGGGGACATATTAAACTGAATATTCTGCAAATTTCAAAAATAAATTCTAATCGACTACAAATATACTTACAGACAGTACTAAAATCAAGAATTTACAAAAACACGATACAAGGAATTAGTGATAAAAAAAGAATCTTTTTATAAATTATAAATAAAATCAATTGTGTGAAAATATTTTAGAAAGTAAATAATTAAAAAATCCTGTCAATTGCCAATGGATTCTCATTAAAATGTTACCATATTTTGTTTTAATTTTAACAAATAAAAAATGTTAAAAAAAGAGATTTATTAACCAATTGAAGTATCGAGGGGAATAGCGTGTTATCCAAGTTTTTTTTTTATTATTTTTTTTTTTATGAGGAATAATGTGAAAATATTTTACAAAAATTAATTGAAATTTTCATAAATATAAACATGATGTAATTTTGTCAAACCATTAAGAACGTGCATTTCAAATAATATTTATGAAAAATTTTAATTGGTATATTTTTAGTTTTTATTTGTTACAGTAAAATGTACGAATTACTATACAGCACATTATTCCTGCCGATCATTAAATTATGTAATTATGTAATAATTATTAGACGCCAGTCTATTTTAGTTGAACCCTAATAAGTAGATAACACTCATACTATCAGTAGTAAGTTATAAATCATTTAATATATTTGTAAAACTATTTATGGTTCAATAAATTAACAATTTAAAAATAATGTTAAAATTTTTTATTTCTTTTAGATACAAAATATTAAAAGTTATTGTTCAACTCGAAAATATATTAACTTAAACTGACTGAAATATGCAACTAATATAAATATTGATAAAGATGTAAACACTAATAGTGTAATTAGCTACGTATAATAAAATATAGAGTTCACGTATTTAAAATAAGTAAATAAAAAAATTATATACAATACTTGGCTTCACAAGTCTTGTTTAAATATGATCATCCTGAGAAGCCAAAATATTAAAAAAACAAAAAGGCAATTATAATGAGCCAATTATTTCTATACTTATAGTGTCCCATTATAAACTTTTTTTTAAATGTCTAATGGTTTTTAAATTAATTTAATCTTTTAACATTTTTTTTTTAAAAAATAATTTCAATATTTCTTTATTGTATTTTAAATTTAGTACACACATCTGAAATTTCTGAATATTGAATAAATAAAATAAAATTAATAACTCAAAATGTAATACTTTGAAAAACAAATTAATAAGTAGTTGAAAAAGAAGGACAGAATATTAAAAATAATTTTTTTTTTTAAATTAATTTATAATAGATAAATTTTTGATTATCAAGATAAAATTAAAAATATTATCTACTAATATGGGTTTGAATTCATTTTCTACAGAAAATATTTTACACAAGTTGAGACCAACTTTAAATTTATTTTAAGAAGAATCAATGTTTAAAAAAATTACATACCTAGAATAATGATAAAAAATTAAGTGATACCAAGTACAAAAATCTTCATCCTAAAAATGGCCATTAAAAAACTATACTGATATATAACAAATGATTTTCCAAAAAATTGTACTTTATAAGAAAATAGTACTTTTTTTAAACTTTCACAAATGTTGCCAACTCTAAATTGCAATTTAATATTATTTTGAAAACATATAAGTCAAAAAATTAATAAATTAATTAGAAAGAAAAAATATACCGAATAACCAATAATAAAAATTGATTTAAAAACTGTAAGCTAAATATATTTTATTTGTGTCAAATGACAAACATATATTTTCAACCAATAAAAATAAATATGGTAATAATTTAATTTATATATAACTATCAGTGTAATAATATGTTGAATTTATAAATATCAGTACATAACGACAACTCAAAAATCTCTAATTAAGCAAATAAAATGTTCCAATAAATTTACCAATAAGCCATTTTTAAATAAAATATAAAACAATTTTATGAAAATTGAATAAATATCTTAATGGTTGTAATTTTTAAATAAAACAAATTTTGCAACTAAAATAAATTATTAAAACAATAATCTAAATTGTATAAGTTATAATTAATGTATTAACCTAATATGGCAATGGGGATTAAATATTACTATCAAAATTGTAAAATCTATCAAATTCAATAATTTCACCAATTTACAATATGTTACCAATTAGTCATAAATATTAAGCATTTATTTCTTAGTTTTGTCATAAAATATATGCATATATAATTTCAAAGGAATTCAATCGACATGGATCAGTTATTTTAAAAAACTGTACTTTAAACATCAATTTTGTTCTAACCATCATAATACATTTATTGAAAATAACTTATTTTATACTTATTTATATTTTTAAAGCATATGATAATTTTTGTTAGTAAGCAAAATAAAAATATTCACTCACCATAGCTGTTTTCTTGACTATTATTATGTATGCCTGATGGACCTGGTAGGAGACCTGGTATTCCTATAGAAATAGATAAAAATCAATACTATTCTAGTTTGTGATAGTAAAAAGTCACAAAATGTCCATAAAATATACAAACCTTGTAAGCTACTAATGATCGAAACTCCTGAAGAAATAGAAGTAGGAAAAGAATGCCTGGATTGCTCAATTGATATTGATGTATTATGTAAATCATGATTATTACCGCTATTCGGTAAAAAATCCACAGGTTCCAATTTTGAATGCTGGGCCTGAGATATTTGAGGCTGTATACCAATATCATTATTCTGTCGATTTACATCCGACCTAGTATTATCGTTTACTGTATGACTACCGTCTGATTCTCCAGAGTTACTTTCTTCTTCATCTGATGAATGACCAGTAGCCGATGAGTCAACTGCATTTTTATTCTTAAAAAATCAAACATAATTTATAGTAAGTAAAAAAATATTTTTTAACTCAATTTCAGATATTCACTATTTATCAATTTTTACCTGACTTGATTGTGATTGATTAAGTTCCAATGCTTGAACAAGCAACGATGGTGTGTCTTTATCTCTATCCACATTGTAGTTACTGCTGGGAGTCAATGGTTGATTAGTCACTTCAGAATTATTACGTTGTCTTTTAAAAGGTGGAGTGGGTAAATCATCACTCGCTTTAGTTTTTCCATCAACTGGGACTACACTTGAACTTCCCCATGAGGACTAATATATTAAAACAAGAAACATTAGAAAACACATTTTAGAAATAAATTTGAAAAACAGTTAATTAACTAAAAACTTACAGGTTGATCTTCCTTAGTAAAATCGACAAGGCCTCGTACTTGTAAGCTACGAGCAGTCTTTAAAAATTCTGGTAATTGTTCTTGATTAATCCGAACTTCTCCATTGTACATGAAACTTAATAAAGCTTCCATTTCTTGCTTTTTAACATCACGTAGGATGACAATGGGATGTTGGCATGGATTTGCCTAAAATCATTAAGAATAACAATTTAAGTAGGTGTTTAATTTGTTTTAAATAACAAGCATATACAAAGGCTTAGTCAATATAAATACCTTGAGCAGAGATCTGAAGTAAGGACTACATGCAGAGAGTACAACTTTATGGGCAGTAAATGAATGACCATCACAAGCAATTGTAACATCTATAAAGTCTTCCTGATCAAGTAAATGTCTGAATGATGTTACAATACTTGTGTGGAATTCATTCCAACGCACGGAATATAATTGATCTGCATCCATTTCGCCCATTATTGACTTTTGTTCATCTGGAAAAAGTGTGGAATTTTATAGATAAACATCCGAGGTATAAAAGTGCAATAAATATATTGAATTATATTTTAATTTTTATAGACCCCTTAAAGATAATAGCTAGGTATAAATTATTATACAAAATGAAGAATGTAAATTTTTAAGAATATGCAACAGTTTTATCAGTCATCATGTTCACAGGTAAGTTGATTATCTGAGGTAATAATAGTTATAATTACATTTTATTCAACCTATATTTAGTGTTTGGAAAGAACACAAGTTCACGCATTCATGTTCATATTTTGTAAACAACACGCTAAAGTCACTCCCTTTTTTTAAATAGAATGAGCGACGCTTATATTTGTAATGAATTTAAACAATTTTTGGAGCATTAAAATTTATTTATCATTTTAAAAATTACATTTATAAATAATAAATATTGTTTTTAATATGTTTAAGTATAAGTTTTAAATATAAAGTAAAATATACTTAATACATTTTGTAATCCCATTTATACAGAATACAAGTTATTGATTCTTAAATACAAAATAAAAAAATTTGAATGAATGACCAAATTAACACGTTAATTTTATCATAAAATTTGAACATGAATGAGTTCCTTTTTATGTACCAAACATAAACGAGTTCAAATATGTTTTGTGACTAGTTTATAACTAACATGAAAATTTAAATATTATAAAATATTTTCAGATAAAACAATAATAATATTGTTTTACAGTACCATCATAATCTGACAAGCAACTTAAATAATTATCTAAAGTCTAGCACCTAAAATAATTTCAGGGCCCATAATTTGTCAAGTTATAATAATTTAATATATATAAGGAAATTGTACTATTTTTGCCAAGAATCTTGCAAAAGCTTACGATGGCACTGTTGTTCTGAAAAATTTATAAATTAGGTTCATTTTTTAATTTTAATAACAGTTTTTTTTTCTAAGAAATATCAACAATGATGAACATGTCGTTATGAAGAACTAACTATTCTTCTTCTTCTTCCTCCTTCGCCTTTCTCCCAACTATTTAAAGTCGACCACCTTTGTCCTAAACCTCTAATTGTCTTGATTTTTTACATCCCCCCTACGCATACATCAACAGCTCTCATATCATTCTCAATCGTATCCAATCATTTATTTTTGGTCTTGCACTTCTTTTCTCTTCAATTTTCATTTTCAAAACTACTTTTATTGATTTTTTTTCTCTCGCTTCATCACATGCCCAAACCATCTCAGTATACTTTTTTTTATCTTATGTGCACTACCAATGCTTAACCAATACTACAATTTACATATTCTTCTTTATTCTATTTTCTCTGTCATTCTACTCACCCACCTAATAATTTTAATTTCTACAAATCTCAAACACTGTTTTATTCTTCTGTCAACTGTCCAATACTTCAAATTATATACAATAGTTAGTCTCACAACAACTTAACTATAATATATTGAAAATTATTTTTGAGTCAAAATTAATTTAATCAATTTTAAGAGAGGTAGGCAGGTAATAGCTATTATAACAAAAATTTCCCCCAGAAAGCAAAACAATAACTATGTGTTTACACATATGATTTCACTGTTATAAACAATAACAAGTAAGATATTTAACACTTAACAGTTTAATTTAAACAAACTACTGATGCAAAATTGGGTATTTACAATCATATAAATAAGATACGTAGGTATATATCTTGTTAAAATCATTACAATTTTTGGTATTCTTGTTATATGTGGTCCACCGCAAACCTGTGATCTGCCATGCATCTAAATATATATATATATATATATATATATATTAAGTCATTCCTATTGATTTGCAGGAATTAAGTATTTTCTTAACGATTTAACTCCAATAATAAAGTTTAGTAATAATCGTGATTGTAATCGTAAATGTATACAAAAATCAATAACAATTTAGTTTGTGATGTTATATGCGATACATTATTCAACAATTGAAACACTTTAAGCATTATAATTAGTCAAGAAACAAACATTTTTATTAAATTGTTCAATCGGAGGAAAATTAATTTTTTTAAATATTTAAATTAAATAAAATATTTTTTTAAAGGAAAGAGGACTTATTGAAATTGACACTTCTTCTTGTATTTACTGTGGCTCATAAACTGAATTCTGTACTCGTAAAGAGCAAAGAAAGGAACAAACCAAAATTTTTAGTGTTTAATACATATCGATCGATTGACATATTTTTTAGTACACTAATTTACCTACATATTATACTGTAGGGTATCTCAAAAAGAACGTAGGATTTAAATCTGATATAAATTAAATTTATTTCTTTTCAAAATACTTAACAATATATCATTCTCTTCAGAAGTTAAAGTTTAACAATGAAAAACAATATCGAGTATATGATTCTCACAACTAGACCTACAGACGATTATTCTTTCCATAAAATTTACTATCGCTCAATCACACATTGCCCTATCAAGTTCGTGGAGGACATGACAAATGTCTTGCTAAAGTTCCAAAACATTAACCCAACATTAAACCTTAACTTCTCATGAAGAAAATGATATAATTGATATGTTTTTTTTAAAAGAAATTAATTTAATTTATAGCAAATTTAAATTTTGCATTCATTTTGAGACACCCAATACATTAATGCATATTTTTATATAAATATGCGTAGTAGACCTTATATGACAAATAGAAATGGGCGGTAGACCGAATACGACAAGAATACCCAATTTATTATACAGAATATTTTAGTTCAGAAATTATTAAGTACCTACATAAACATGATAGTATAATTTTAAAAATTATTTAATTAGAACTTAGTCTACAGAAATTTAACCATATTTTTTAACTCTAAATTACCAAATTATATTAATAATTAAATAGATAGATTATAGTAAATAGAATCTATAGAATTAATCAAAGTCTAGAAAATTAATAAATTTGTATACCGTTAAATTTTAAACCAAATTTAATAATAATATACTTGAATTCATAAAAAATAAAGATTTTAAATAAGTGCAGTTAATTATTAAATTACCTATCATAGATATTTCAGAACATGAAATTGAACATTTTTTTACAGGTATTCACAAAATCAAAAATGGACTTTTAATTTATCTTAAATTAATTTAAGTAATAATAATATATACAATTATATTATAATTAATAAAATAATTTAATTTATTTTAAGTATACCTAATGTGTAAATGTATGTAAGAGATATATTAAAACTTAAAAGTATTTAACATTTTACATTAATACATCACAAATAAAATTAACTCATAAAATCAGAATATTATAATGATTTTTTTTTTTTTTTAAATGATCTTGAAATAAAAAAGTAAAATAAAATATAATGTTTTGGTTTTAATTATTTGTAACAAATATAACTCATGCAATTAATATATAATGAGTTGAAGCTGTTTCTACATAGTAGAAAAATAATACCATAGTTGAAGCATTGTACATTATAATACCAATAGTAAATGTTAAACTAGTAAATTGTATAGTTAACTTGAGTTAATGATGATTGACAAATATTACATTGTCGATAAGGTTGGCAACTATATGTATATGGGTATAAAACAATATTATATTTTCTATAAACACATTTAAAAATAGTAAATTGTGCCAAATGTAAATAAAATACAATTTCTAAATTATTAAAAGGCTTAGCGCAAAAATGTAGTGTTTATAAAAAATAGTTTTAAAATATTTATAATGAACTGTACATAATTCATGTAAATTATTTCTGATGATTTGTAAACTATACAGACCAGTAATTTTGTTTATACAAATTGTCTACACGTAAATGAAAAATAAATGTTTTTGTTCAAAACACTCTGCATAAACACATTTGATATGATAAATCTAGTTCTATGGCCAGAGTCTTTGAAAACCTAATCGAGTAATTGACTATAACAAAAACGTGTCACAGCTCAGAAAGTACTTTAACATCCCAGTCGATGATGACCATATTCGATACGTTCTAGAACGCCTGTTTGATATGAGCATACGTATCGACGTCAAATCCGATCGACAGTTCGTACATTGCAAGTACATACCAAGCGACAAAAGTGGTCATGGACGAGACAGTGATGATTTTCATGATTTTCCGATGATTTTCGAGCAAAAAGAAAAACTTTTTACCCACACCGTTCATATCAATTATGTCAAATCGTGTTGCGAACTCGGTGCCGCCACACGAACAAGCGGCGAGTGCGAAAATGCATACGGCACATGAACACTATCTGGTCGCACGACATGTCGTTGCAGTCGAAAAAAACGCGTAGGACGAGCGAAAACTGATAAAAATGACTGCGCAGATCACACGGTACAGTATTCGAACACAATGCGATATAATACCATGGTACTCGGTACACGAGTGAACGATGATGATGATGATAATAATAATAGCAATAATGGTGCATCAATTAAGGTCGAATAATTTATTATCATGTCGCGGGGGAAAATAACGTTTTCGGTGATAAGAAAAACACACGTAGTAGTTCCGTCGTCGGAAAGGCGGCGGCACACGTGTAGGCACAGTGGCCGGGACCGGGTTCGCAGTAGCACTGCAGCGGTGGTGCGGCGCAAAACGTTACGACCGGTGGTAAATAGACAATAAAAACGATAGCGAGACCAGAGAATTAACAAGGCCAAAAGGAAAAACCACGATTAAAAACTATTAATAATTTCGTAGCGAAATCCTGACGTTCTCTCGAATCACACAAATCGTACCGATTTCATTTGCATTTATTTTAAATAGTTCCAGTGACGCGTAGAGTTTACGTATTATTATTGAAAAAAATAAAATATCACCATTATAATTGCGTTTAATGAGCGACGAGAAATAAATAGGCGATATGGACGGGTGCTTGCGCAGCCCCATAGAGGTCGCCAAAGGAAACGCAATAATAAGAAAATAACAAATTAACGGGCTATGGGACGAAAAATAAACAGGCGGATTCGCAAGCGAAACGACGCACCTCCCCACGGGGCGGGACGCCCGTTCATCCGTACGAGAGGGAAAACGAATGGAAAACGCACCAGAAAAACGAATAATAAAAATCGGAAAAAATTTATTAAAAATAAAAAAAAAAAAATTAATAAATAAAAAACGAACGGGCAACACAATAAAATAGGGGTATATAATAATAAGTGTTACGGAAAACGACAGTGTCACGTAACGTTATCTTTGGCAGGTGAATATTAAAAACGTAATTGAAAAATAACGTGTGTAATTACCTCGGTAATAGCTGTTGGTTGCGTGGATGACGATTCGCGCGAGCGATGTGATACCCGCAAACAGGCGTGTGCACCGGCGGCGACGGCGGCAGCGACGACGATGACGACGACGATCACACGACGACCGATGAACGACTACTACGAGTGCGGCGGCGGCGGCGGCGACGACGGCGACAATGTGTGCGTTGCGGGTCGAGAGTGAGAGATATTTCGCTCACATGGCGGCCGCGGGCCGACGTAAAAACTGCGCGCGAACCCTCACAGCAGACGGGCGCCGCTGCGGCCTGGGCATGACGATCCGCGTTGTTGTTGTTGTGGTGGTCCGCGGCCGGTGGTGGTGGACGTCGGCGTGGAGGGGGCGCCGGTGTTGTTGTTGGCGGCGGCGGCGGACGAG